GTAAAAAAGTGTCCATAATGTCTTATTGTTAGTTATAATACTTCGCCTATAATAATAACCAAGATAATTGCACTTGCTGGTTTTACGATATTTTCAATGAACCCATAAAACATACCTATCCGATAAGTTATTTTAATCTATCGATCAGTAGTACCAACCCAACCCAAGAAAAATAAAAATGTTGACGTTTTCAACAATTTTCTTTTATAACACATTAATTATAACCGATGGACAAAATATTTCTTACAAAAAAGGTTTAGAATTAACCCATCAAACATATCCAATAAGTTATTTTAATCCATCGGTCAGTAGAACCAACCCAACCCAAAAATAACACCAAATTTTAATATTTTTGACAGTTTGCAGTTATAATTTTAGTTTTTAATTTTGTTTAATTTTTTTTCTCAGTTAATGATGGAGAATTACTTTCTAAACAAAAAACGTTTATAATTAACTCATGACGTATTGCATAAAGATATTTATTCCATCAATCAGTATTTCCAACATAACATAAAGAAAATAGAAATTTTGACGTTTTCAACAATTCTCTTGTATAACTCAATAATTATAACCGTTGGAGAAAAACATTTCTTAGAAAAAAGGTTTAGAATTAATCCATAAAACATATCCAATAAGTTATTTTAATCCATCGATCAGCAGTACCAACCCAATCCAAGAAAAATAAAAATGTTGACGTTTTCAACAATTTTCTTTTATAACTCATTAATTATAACCGATGGAAAGAAAATTTCTTACAAAAAAGGTTTAGAATTAACCCATCAAACATATCCAATAAGTTATTTTAATCCATCGGTCAGTAGAACCAACCCAACCCAAAAATAAAACCAAATTTTAATATTTTTGACAGTTTGTGGTTATAATTTAACAAATTATAAATGATGGAGAATTACTTTTTAAACAAAAAACGTTTATAATTAACTCATGAAACGTATTGCATAAAGATATTTATTCCATCAATCAGTTTTACCAACATAACATAAAAAAATAGAAATTTTGACGTTTTCAACAATTCTCTTGTATAACTCAATAATTATAACCGTTGGAGAAAAACATTTCTTACAAAAAAGGTTTAGAATTAATCCATAAAACATATCTAATAAGTTATTTTAATCCATCGATCAGCAGTACCAACCCAACCCAAGAAAAATAAAAATGTTGACGTTTTCAACAATTTTCTTTTATAACTCATTAATTATAACCGATGGAAAAAAATATTTCTTACAAAAAAGGTTTAGAATTAATCCATAAAACATATCCAACAAGTTATTTTAATCCAGCGGTCAGTAGAACTAACCCAACCCAAAAATAAAACCAAATTTTAATATTTTTGACAGTTTGCGGTTATGACTTATTAATTATGAATGATGGAGAATTACTTTTTAAACAAAAAACGTTTATAATTAACTCATGAAACGTATTACATAATAGTATATTATTCAACAAGCGTATAATGGCGGCTGTTACCCACGAAGAAGAAGTTGCAACACGAGCGAGCGAAGCGAGCGAGTGTTGTAATCTGAGTGGGTAACATCCATTATACGCAAGTTGAATACTATACTTTATCTACAACTATTTAATTTTGAAAAAAAAATCAAAAAAACGAAAAAAAATAAACTTGATAGACATTTCAGACATAACCTCAATATAAGAAAGCTGCCATTTCTGTTAATATTTTATTTTTTGATTAGTAGGCCGTGGCAGAACTGTGGAATTATGGCTTCATTATTCAACACTTTGTCAGTCATGGTCATGAGTAATGCGTGTCATTACCCGTCAAAAATCAAATGTATAACGAATAGATAATTCAATAGTTGTAGATAAACATTTTTATTCCTGATTTTCAAACTTATCTCATCATAAATAATGCGTTGGATATGTTAAAACCATTAAATCGCACAAATTTTATACTCTAACTATAGAAGTTAACTAATTATTCCCATTTTTGTGTAAAAATTGGACTTTTTTCTAAATTGAAAATTGTTCAAGTTCAATTTATGATATGTAACCATAGAAACCATAAAAACGCAGAAAAAGAGATTAAATGAGGAAGACGCTGCTTCTGTAATACCATTAAATTCCGTTCAAGAAACCCGAAAATTATCACTTAATTAGCTTTAAGTCTTATGAAACGTGTTTCTTATGCCATTTTTTGTAATTCGAGTTTTTATCCTTTTTTTTCTCAAAAATAAAATAAATTTTGACAATGTAGGGAAATAGGTATGTAGCAGTTGGTAACACCGTAACACTTGAAAATAGAAATTTGAATTGACAATTAGAAACTGTCAAAACACAAAATGTATTCACCTGACAAAAATGTTTCATGTACACCTCCCAAAATAAGAGAAATTGCTCAGAGTTCAATGTCCTCATCATTGTGGACCTTGTATTCGATGCTAAGAACGTGTTTAAACATCCATAGACAAACATTGTCACATTGACAACTAGAAAAATTAATGATCCAATGTCACCAACTTGAACTGGTTCCATAAAATGTTACTAAAATCTCATTACAGCATCGGATGCTGTAAGGAGTCTCATTACAGCACCCGTATGAGTACTGTTGTAGCTTTCATTACCGTCGAATTGAAAAGTTTGACAGCTAAACAGTTAAAAATTTTATTAACCAAAAATTTTGTTTAGACCAATTCACATTTCAAATTTACCAAGTACTTTATTTATTTACAAGGCGGCGCCGGGCGGCGCCCGGGCAAGCACTGCACCCGGGCGCCGCCTAAAAGGGGGCGTCGGCGCCTTTTTAATATTTTCTCCAACAATATCTTATCTTTCTTTTGCACCTTGACATTGACCTGTCAGCAGTAGCTAGTCTTCAGAAAGCAGTATTTAGTCTCCACAAAGCAATTTTAGTCTTTAGAAAGCAGTATTTAGTGTTCCAGACGCTGTATTTAGACCTGTCGGAAGTATCTAGTCTTCAGAAAGCAGTATTTAGTCTTCTAGAAGCAGTATCTAGTCTTCTGCCAACATTATGTATGTTTTCTCCAACAATATCTTATCTTTCTTTTGCAGTACCTAGACCTGTCAGCAGTATCTAGTCTTCAGAAAGCAGTATTTAGTCTCCACAAAGGAATTTTAGTCTTTAGAAAGTAGTATTTAGTGTTCCAGATGCTGTATTTAGACCTGTCGGCAGTATCTAGTCTTCAGAAAGCAGTATTTAATCTTCCAGAGCAGTATCTAGTCTTCAGAAAGCAGTATTTAGTTTTTTAGAAGCATTAGATCTTTTTAGGAGCCTCTTGTTATCTATACGGATCTTGTACCACCCAGTACCTCATTTCTGCAGCTGTTACTTTGCTTTTGTGCTTATCCTGCATTGGCAATGTTTCCGTATTGGTGATTTCTTGTCCTGTGCAATAACTAGACAAGTCTATTGGTTTCTTGTTCATATTCTTCACATTCTTTTATTGAACACATAAGTATTGCCATGAAAAATCATGTTTGGTTTATAATCAATTTTTTGTTTGCTCTGAACAGTAATTTCAGAGTTCATGTGATACTAACAACTCACCCCTGTATGTACCAAACCGAGCGCCTCGGCTGCAAGCAACCTCGGCTTAAAACTTTTCTAATCATCACTTGTAAACTAGAAAAACGTTTAAGAGTTGTATATAAAACAAGTGCCTCGGCCGCAAGCGACCTCGGCTTAAAATTTTTCTGGTCGTCACTTACAAAACAGGAAAAAAGTTGAATACAAAACTTTTGCCTCGGCTTTAAACTTTTCTGGTCATCATTTACAAACCAGAAAAACAATAAAAGTTGAATTCAAAACTATTGCCTCGGCTGCAAGCAACCTCGGCTTCAAACTTCTTTGTTCGTCGTTGATAAAACAGAAAAATTTTAAATTTTCATGTACACCTCCCAAAATAAGAGTGCTCAGAGTTCAATTTTCTCATATTGACCTTGTATTCGTTACTAGTGGCCTGACGAGAGCTTTGTAAAGAACTAGAGTGCACTCAGTTTGCAGTGGTGATTTTCTGCTGATCAGAGATTACAATTGGCGAAACCTGGCATATCGTTGGTTGACCTTTGAGTTTATGTAGAGTTTCGAGTTTCGAGTTTTCGTTTAAGTGAGGCGGTGATCAAAGAGAACTCCGAGGTATTTAATGGCTTCATCTTTTGCTTTCCACTGTATTTGTTGATCGTTTATAATAATGTAACGACCATTTCGTTAAAGTCTTAGCGAAAAAATCTTGGTCTGGCATTGAGCAGAATGACCCATTTTGATAACCATTTCTGGATTTTGTCCACTGACCTTTGAAGTGTTTCAATAGCATCAATAAGGATGTCGTTTTGTCCCATTATTAACATGTCATCCGCAAACATTGGCTCTTGCCAGTTGGTGAACCGTGGAGTGTCCCTCTCTAAATCCGTACTAGATTTGGGATTATTCTGAAGAGGCTTAACTCTTCTTGTTCGAAACGTCAAACCTTTTATTAAAAGACGCACTGCAAACCCCGAAAGTTGTGTTAGTTCTAATTTTAGTTTAATTAACACAGACCGTGAAAGCCTTCGTACTTATAAGTAAAACATTAATTCAACATTAATTTCAATTTATACACTAAAAATTATTTTAAATAAAAGGAAATCTAACTTTACCTTTTTCTATTTAAATTATTTTTTTAAGTGTTAAAATATATCTAAATCTATTTTAAACAGCTTTAAAGTCAGTCAATTCGGCATCGTTTTTACAAACAATCGTCGCGTCACAATACTATCTGCGATATTGGTTGCATACTTTCGATGATAACGTCGGGTACAATAATTAATTAACACACTGTATGAGACCTCCACGATAAAATAATAATACATGAACGTACTCAAAATTGTGTTTATAAAGTAATTTTGCAAAAAGGCGTAATATCGAAACTTTATTTTAACAGCAAATAAGTTGACATTATATAGGCTTCATGTTAATCATTAAATTTAGTTTAGTTACGTTTATTTTTGTCGTTCATTGTATATAGGAGAACATTAAGAACGTACTCATGTCATTTTATTTAGGATTTTTTCGGTACTTTCCCATTTTAATTCGTTGATGAAACAATAAACGTCGTCGGCATAATTCATTACAAGGTTATTTACATGGTTTCTTATCAGTCTCAAGTTCATTTGTGATTCATTTATAAGTTTCAGATTGAAGTATTTAGGTGTTGTTCGTTACTCCAGCATTTCAGTGGCTTAGTTTTGTGCCTTCTAAAATAAATAAGTCGAAAATGGCATCAAGAAGAGTAAGAATACTGTTACTGGGACAAACGGGTGTTGGAAAATCAACGCTTGTAAACATGTTTGGTAACTATTTTTCTGAAAAATCCGTGCATCAAATCGCAAAAGGGAGATGTAATGTGCTTGTGCCAACCAAATTTAATTTATATAAGGACGATAATTCTATGGAAACTATTGAAGTGGGTAAAAGTGAATTTGAGATACCCGGAACAGGACAATCAGCCACTCAAAAACCTTTTATATATACCTTTAATGATGAGGAACATGGGATTATCTTGGAGGTTATTGATACACCGGGTGTTGGGGATACTCGAGGACTAGATTATGATACCATGAATAGTGAAATGACTTTAAGTTTAATTTCTGAATTGCCTTCAATAGATGGAATTTGTATTTTACTTAAACCAGATGTTACACGACTCACACCTGAATTTGAAGTTTGCCTTAAACAGATTTTTGAACAATTAGATAAAAACATTATAAAGAATACTGTTTTTCTTTATACACATGGACGCATGAGAAATTTCAAGTGTGCAGACACTGATGCTTGTCTGAGAAAACTCTTCGCTGATATTCAAAAGATTAATAGAAACTTTAATCCTGTTACTAATGAGAATACATTTTTTATTGATAATGAAACATTTAAATATATAGTTGGTAGTCAACAAGGACAAACTTTTACTAGGCAGGAAATGACACTTTATGAAGAAACTTTTAATATTTCTAAAAAAAATATTAGCAGGTAAGTGAATGTTAAATCTATTATTTCTTTTATATGTGAATTAAATAGTTGCCTTTAGATATACATTGTGTTAATTAATTATCATATCTGACGTCATCACAAGTATGCAACCAAATACGCAAATCGCCTATTGCAATATCAATACTGTGATATTGGTTGCATCTTGCAATGATGATGTCAGGTACAATAATTAATTAACACATTGTATTTCTGATGTTTTATTATTATCAGATTTGAAAAATTCGTTCATACATTTTTATGAAACGCCACAAAATAGATTTTTATTAATAAAAAATTGGCCAAGTTTGGAGTTAAATAAGACAAACTGTTCCTTGGATTTAAGAGAGTAACCAAATAACAAAATGAATATTTAAAAAAAATGTATAAAATGATTAAAAAAGTAGTGCAAAAGCACAAAATCTTCGTCATTTCAAATCCAGTGAAAGCCATTGTTATGTTTCTGACTACATTACATTAATTTCTTGAAAGATCCTTGTGGAAATATCACCAATTATTAATTAATGTATCCTCTTTTTAATGCAATAAGCCGTTTTGAAAAATCACTTTTAGTTCTTGAGAAATAAATTTTTAAATAATCGACAATTTTTTTCGAATTTTGCCGATTAAGTTTTAAAAATTCGTATAAAATCCATTTTTTGGAATATGAGTATGAAAATTTCTCAAAGTGTTAATAAAAGTGTCTTCTTTCCAATGAACCAACCCGTTTTGAAAAATAACTTTTAGTTTTTGAGAAAACAATATTTGAAGTTTTGATAAAATTTTCGATGTTGCAATTTTCATCGATAATTTTCAAAATTCGCTATAAAATTAATTTCTTGAAGGATCCTTGTGGAAATATCACCAATTATTAATTAAAGTATCCTCTTTTTAATGCAAAAAGCCGTTTTGAAAAATCACTTTTAGTTCTTGAGAAATAAATTTTTGAAATGATCGACAATTTTTTCGAATTTTGCAATTTTCGCCGATTAAGTTTTAAAAATTCGTATAAAATCCAGTTCTTGGAATATGAGTATGAAAATTTCCTAAAGTGTTAATAAAAGTGTCTTCTTTCCAATAAACTAACCCGTTTTGAAAAATATCTTTTAGTTTTTGAGAAAACAATATTTGAAGTTTTGATAAAATTTTCGATGGTGCAATTTTCATCGATAACTTTCAATATTCGCTATAAAATTAATTTCTTGAAGGATCCCTGTGGAAATCTCGCCAATTATTAATTAAAGTATTCTCTTTTTAGAGTTGCTTCGTTAGTTAAATCAGCATCAAAAAAGTTCATTTTGTATCTTGAATCCAAATAAGTTTACATATCTTATCAGCTTTCTTATTAATTTCATTTTTATTCAAATGTCGCAATAATGTAGCAATATAGGGTACACTTCAGAAATGCACCAGAAATTATAACCATAATGACCGGATAGATATGCCGGATATCCGGTATTCGGCTTTTCGCAAAATCACTACCCGTTCCTCACTAGTGTTAATTAATTATCGTACTCGACGTCATCATTGCTAGTATGCAACCAATATCACAGTATTGGTATTGCAAGTACGCAAATCGCGTATTGCAATGATGACTTGCAATGATGACGTCAGGTACGATAATTAATTAACACACTCTTTCTGATATTTTACTATTATCAGATTTGAAAAATTCGTTCATACATTTTTATGAAAGGGGCATTCAGCCACGAAATAGATTTTTATAAGTGAAAAATTGGCCAAGTTTGGAGTTAAATAAGACAAGCAGTTCCTTGGATTTGAGAGAGTAACCAAATAATGAAACGAATATAGCAAACTTAATAAATATTTAAAAAATATATAAAATCATTAAAAAAGTAGTGCAAAAGCACAAAATCTTTGTCATTTCAAAACCAGTGAAAGCCATTGTTATGTTTCTAACTCCACATTACTGCCTGTACCAAAAGTCAACAGAAGCACCGTCCTTACATAACATTTCACAAACCTTAGTCTCAACTTTAAGTCAAAGTCTAACAGCTTATTCTATGTGACTTGTAATGTTGTTGTATCATGTCCAGTTTTCAGACAGCCATGTCCCCAGGTATTTGAATTTATCTAATTTTTCTATTCTTGTATTGTTGACTGTTAGTTCTAGGTTCTTGGTTATTATCGTGAATTTTTTCTTCTTTGTGAAAGAAATATTTGAATTAATTGAAGTGTATGAAGAAAATTCAATTCTTTGGAATAACAAATCTAATGAACATAGAAATCGGGAAGGATGCAATTTTAACAAGTATTGGACAGAAATTTAAACGGGATTTGTACCATTAGTAATAGTAACTTCTGACAACATAATTTGATGTTCTGACAGTAAAATTAAGTCTTCTGCTAAAAGTATTTGATTTTTAGTAGTAGTAGTTTTTAGTAGCAAGTCTTCTGTAAGAAGGATGTGCTTCATTTACAATATCTAGTTTTTCACTAGCAATACTTAGTCTTCTGCCAGCAATATCTAGTCTTTTGCAGCAATATCTAGTCTTCTACCAACAGTATTTCGTCTTCTGGTAGTAGTGTGCAGTCTTCTGTAAGAAGAATCTGCTTCATTTGCAACATCTAGTTTTCCTTAGTAGTACTTAGTCTCCTGCCAGCAACATCTAGTCTCTTTCAGCAATTGAGGCTTCTTTTTATTTTTTTCAGTTTTTTTTTTTTCAAATTTTGTACAACACTATTGCACTTGCAATTTTGTTTACATCCATGTTTACAAACACCAAGCATTGAAAGAAAATAAATTTTACTTTCCATAGCACGGACACATTTCGCTAGTGGACACGGTCCTGAGAGAAAGCTCTCGGAGAGCTAAAACAGTCTCAAGTGGACACAGAGTTGAGAGTAGATATCGAGAGTTACTCTCAGAAGTTTCTCTCAAGTGGACACCTAGCTTAACAGTACTGGGGGTACTGGTAGGCGCGCTCGAAACGTAGCGAGCACGTTTTCTTTCGGTCATGAGCATACATGACAGCTTTCTTGAATTAGTTGAGCGTACACATCTGCACCAAGAGTAATAAATAATATCTGTAGGCCTTTGAGACCAATAATCATTATCAGCTAAAGGAATGTCTTGTAACTGTTTCCAATTTGAATTAGATGGTTTTTGCGTTGGTAGATATGCTGCTAACTTTGACAGGATTTGAGCTTCAATATTATATTCAGTATAAGGATTCAATTTGGTCGAGTGTGGTCTGGAGATTGACCTGCGATTCCAAAAATAGGTGTGTTTACCCTGATCAATGAGCACGTAAATATATTCTTACACCCTTCATCGTAGCATTCCACATTTTTGCAACTCGTGCTACCTTCGTGATAGCTCCCTTTTTCACATCCCATATTTTTTCAAACCTTTCCTAGTATGACCTCTCTCTTAGTACGACCTCCATTTATTGCTGGAAAAAAATAGTTTGTAAATTTTCCAAAGTCTTGCTTTATTTACTTTTTAAGATTATTCCCATAATTTGTACATCTTTTTAATAATTACTCATTTTGTTATAGTTTAATAAGTTATATATCAAATTTGAATCCAGCTCCGATGCGTGGAGTAGCGAGTATCAATGAAGCGAAAAGGGTAATACGTCGTCTATTAGAACCACTCATAAAACTGGTCGTGTTATATAATTATGCGATTATTGATATTGAAGAGTACAGAAAAGAATTGAACAGTTGCCAAAACAACATCAATGAGCTTAAGAATAATATGTTCAGAATTAGACATATTCCAATGGAGGTACAAAATGAGAACACAAGTAACACAGGCTTTAATTTATCCTTTGACTGGAAAAATATATTTAAAAACTTTAACTGGAGAAATCTTTTTAAACCCTTTAAATTTATGGCTAACTTAATTTTCAATAACAAAACGTCTAAAACTATCGAATTAGTTGAACAAAGAGAATTGGATAAGGATGTTATTGCCGAAATTAAAGATCAAGAAACCGCAAAAAAAGCTGTTCAAACGAAAGTGGAAGAAATGCAAGGTCTGTGCAGACAATATGAAGACGAAATCAACGATATTTTACAAACCATAGCTACTTTTTCGGCTTTTATAGATGGTTTAAAATGCTTTGTAGGACACGATGTTTTCAATGATTTTATGGATACAGTCATTGAAGAGTAATTATTTTAACTTATTGAATCAATAATCATTGAATATTAATAATAACATTTATTTTAGGTATAATACCAGAGACAACAAAGTTTTAATCACCAAATTAGAGGAGTATTTAAGGCGTTACAAATTTATCAAACAACGAGTTGGCGGCAATATAAAGTCCAGTGATGTAATGCGTTGTTGCCAAGCATTGTTTCGTGCTAAACATACAGGACATCTGTTTAAAGAGATTATTAATGAGAGCGTTGATTTTGAAAAAATCACTTTTATTTCTTAATCCACTAATAAGATATAAAATGTTTTATTTATCATCATTTTACTCATTTTCTCATTTATATTTTTACAAATTAATTGAAATTATTGCTATTGTTCATTGAAATTATAATTATAACTCGTCTTTATTGCTTAGTACTGTTAAAGGCCAGAATTTGATATATTTATATAAGAAAAATAATTTTGTAACAATATACATAAAATATATTTGTGAAATTTTAAACGTAGTAGTCGTTGAACCTTCTCACCCTAGAAGAGATTACCACAATGCAAAGGTGCCAAAACTTTGCTCACACAAAAATTTACTGTAATACAGATTCGCGTTGTGTCAAATGCGCAGGACAACATTTAACTACTGATTACTGACTGTCCCCGTCAAAAACAAAGTGATCATGTCGAATGCGTTAACTAACGTGTCTTGTTTGTAAAACATTGCAAAAGAAACATTTTCCGTCTCTACGCAATAAATATGTAAATATTTACCATGGGCCATAAAATAAGTTGGTACCACCCGTCAAGACGCAACAATGTAACTATGCCCAAATTACAATCGCTAATATCCCAAAAGAAGGAGAAGGAAAGATATTTCTCGGAAGTGCTGAATGTAGAGGACGCAGCAGGTAATCCAGAAACAGAAAGACTGCCGAACCAAACGTGGAATCTTTTGACGAGATAAAAAGGGCTCTAATGAAGATGAAAAAGAGACTGCACAAAATGATATGCGCAATATGACAAAGAGGAGGTATGCTAAAAAAATGGAAAATAGAAATCATCTACCTATAAGAAATGACTAAATTATTCTCTTTAGTCAAGTAATGGAAAAATATTATGAGTATAATACTGACTTGCGCTGTATATTCATAGACTTTAGGAGGTTCTTTGACAGTTTATAAAGGACCAAACTTGAGTATGTAGGTGAATCTAAGGAAAATGTAACTACGAAAAGTTACGGGAAGCTTGTAGAGATATTTACTGACATTGATAGAACAGCCAAAAAGGAAGGTCTATTTTAACAGTTGGTGGGAAAACGCTGTCAAACAATCCTACAGAAATTCAGCCTTTTCTGAAAAAATGAACAAGCTTAAGTTATTAGTAATAACTTATTACCTAGCCAGATATACAATTAGCACTATTTTGGAGGCTGCTACCTAATGTATGTTATTAGTACACGTCAAAGAAACTTTAGCACCAGGGCGAAAAAGTTCCAAAGAAAGACTTAACTTTTCTCCCTTGTATCAATATTGATGGTACTCATAAACTCAAAATGATGGTTATTTTGGCAAAGCTAAAAATCCCAGAACTTTTAAAAACGCTAATATTTTAGTTGATTACCATTCAACTAAGAATGTATGGATGACATCCGCTCTATTAGTAATAATAATTTTCTCCCAAGAGACCCAACGGGTAACAGTCTATATATAATTTTAAATAAATAATTATGGCTACCGAAAAAGTAATACTGAATGATAAATAAAACTGAGCAAATGAGCATATTTGAATTATATAACGGATCGACAGTCAGTTATTACAAGGAAGGAAATAGGCACAAAAAAATGCGGTACAAGATAAATGAATGGCAGACTAGAGAGATAGTCAGGAAGATGATAGTTGCAGAGATAACTGCATTGCAAGCAATCGACTGCACTGTAAACGATCTGTGATAGATTACAGTACTATGGACTGGAAACATGAGTGTAGAGTCCGACATTGATCGAGTGGGCAAGTCATGTGATGCTAAAAAGTGAAANTGGTTATTGTCAAAGCTAAAAATCCCAGAACTTTTAAAAACGCTAATATTTCAGTTGATTACCATTCAATTAAGAATGTATGGATGACATCCGCTCTATTAGTAATAATAATTTTCTCCCAAGAGACCCAACTGGTAACAGTGTATATGTAATTTTAAATAAATAATTATGGCTACCGAAAAAGTAATACTGAATGATGAATAAAACTGAGCATATTTGAATTATATAACGGATCGACAGTCAGTTATTACAAGGAAGGAAATAGGCACAAAAAGGCAGTAAAAGATAAATGAATGGCAGACTAGAGAAGAAAACAAACACGTATAGGTCAGGAAGATGATAGTTGAAGAGATAACTGCATTGCAAACAACAGCAGGCAAATCGTTCCATAACGCAATCGACTGCACTGTAAACGATCTGTGGTGGATTTCAGTACTATGAACTGGAAACATGAGTGTAGAGTCCGACATTGATCGAGTGGACAAGTCATGTGATGCTAAAAAGTGAAAGGCGTCAGACAAATAAGCAGGAGNTGCATTGCAAGCAATCGACTGCACTGTAAACGATCTGTGATAGATTACAGTACTATGGACTGGAAACATGAGTGTAGAGTCCGACATTGATCGAGTGGGCAAGTCATGTGATGCTAAAAAGTGAAAGGCGTCAGACAAATAAGCAGGAGTGCGGTTATGGACAATTTTCTATAACATAGTAAGCATCCGAAATGATCTACGACTCTGGCAAGGCAGCATCTGCAGGTTGTTACAATATGGAGTAATGTGCTGAAACTTTCCTAAATCAAAAATGTACCGTATACAATTGTTCTGATGTCTTTCCAATTTACCCCGAAGGGCTGCGGACAGATCGGGATACTCAGCATCGGCATAATCAATGTGTGTGAAAATGAGAGAATAACAAAGATTACGACGTACAACAGGAGGAGAAGGTAGCAGCGACGTTTTATTCAATGTATGGAAAAAGAATCTTACAGAGCCCCTCCGCCGAATCCATTACCACAGCAAGATTTTTGATCGTATTAGAAAACGGAATAACGGTGTCGCCAAGCCTCAGTTGAAGGGTAGTTAAGGAATTAAATCAGAGATGCACAGACCGCGGCCCGCCGGTCGAATACTGGTGGCCCGCCGACAGCAAAAATAATATTCTCGTATATTCGAAAAATAATAAATATTAAAGTACTTTGTTTCTTTTGATATTGTGAGCGACGTCCATAAAACTTATGAAAATCATTCAAATACCGCGCCAA